GGGGGGGGGGGGGGGGGCGGGAAGAAGGGTCTTCTTGTGGTTGGCTTTTTTGTTTGTGGTCTACACGTAATGGGCACGCTCAAGTTCTGCCAGCTGCGAGGCTACAAATGGTTAATCTACCGATGAAACATGAAGCCAAACAGGACAAGTTTGGTGTGCAAGACACAAGACGCAAAGATCAAAGAGGTGGCGATTTATTGAGACAAAACATGGAGCACGAACAAACAGCAATGGATAGGATCACACATCCTTGGCTTTCGGCATAAAGAAGCGCACGCCCTACATGCAAATCACCTATGCGGAGAGCAAAATTCACTTGACACGTGCGTAAGAGCAGGCCAGGCTGTAGGCGGGCACCATCCCACTGGCAGCCGACTTGGCGCGACGTGCACAGAATGTTGGGAACAGTTCCGCGAACAGACTGAACAGCACGCTCCCTCCCACCTCGGCACAACAAAACACGACATTTTCTACCTCGCCGATTTCGAGCAAACATAACACAGTATATCCATCTATTTTTTTCATCAAGAAACACAGAGACGTAGAAGGAAGGAGAGGCAGGGAAGGAGGGAGAGAGACAGAGAAAGGACGAGAGCGAGCGACAGAGAGGGGGGAAGAGAGAGAGACACACACACACGGAGAGACAGAGAGAAAGAGAGAGAGAGACAGACAGAGCGAGACAGAGACAGAGACAGAGAGAGAGAGAGACAGACAGACAGACAGAGACAGACAGAGAGAGAGCGAGACACAGACAGAGAGCACGCCGAACCCCTACGCCACACCGTCCAATTAGTCGTCACCTTTCGGCCGGCGTCCGGGTTCGCGCCGCAGCCCAGCCCCTCCGTGACGCTCCTCCCCAGCTGTAGCCGGTTGTCCGTCAACGTCGTGGACAGGTGTTGCGCGTCTGTGTTGCAGACCATAAACTCCACGCCCTTAAGGTTGCGTGCAATCATATTGCTCACTGTTTGGGGCGGGAGAGAGATTATGGGAAGACGGAGGGGGGTACTGACCATGGCACGGGAGTGTCGAGAAACGTGCGTGCCTTGGTGAGGGAGGCCAGATGAAGGATGTATGGTGAGGTTTTACCGTATCGTGGCAACTCAAATGTTCCGGGAACGGGCGTGTTTTTCGCCGCAGAATCCATGAGATTGCCATACGGATGTGTGAGAACACGGGGACAGGCGAGACCCCCCAAAACTCGTGTCCTAGGGAGAGAGGGGCCACGCAGACCGCGGCCAAACTCGACGTCACGGAAAAAATGACGTCACGCCAAACGCCAAACGAACCGTGTCGGGCAAGTCTGTGGTTCTCGGATAGATGGTACATATATCCGCACCGAAAAACGTCCATAACAAAACACGCCCTTTCCTGGTGTCGATGGCGGACAGCTCGGTGTGATAGCGGACAGCTGTGCCCGACTAAATAGACTACAGCTTCTCTTTGTGACAACATAGCAAAGCTTCGGCGGGAAAGCACGTTGCTGGCAAAATCCCTCAATGCTCGAAGGTCACGCCGAGGAAAAAAGGTATAAAAACCTTGAAGGTATAATTCCTGCCACCGAGAAATCCTTGTCCTCGGAACGAACGGTGGAGGACAAGGCCAGGTTGAAACAAATGTTCGCTCCAAGAGTAACCAAGTCCTGTCATTGCATGCTTCTGGGCCCAGTCCATCGTATCCCGAGCAGAATCACAACCTTTGCGGCAAGAAAACCACAACCGGTGTTCATAGCAGTTGGTGATTGCAACAAAGGATTGTTGAGACACAACACACCAGCATTTCCCCCCGCCCCGCCGCAGCCGACCACCGTAATCCTTGGAGCGAACTCCATGTAATTCCCTTGGTGGAAGGGGAGGGGGGACGCAGATGAGGATGGAGTCGAGTCCGACACCCCCGCACCGCTGGACGAAGTATGTTGCGCGCCTGGAAAACGTGGCGTGGGCCATAATGGACGTCCGCAAAGGGGGGGAGGGGGGGGATCGGTACGGTGTGCGTGTGTGTGTAACCCGTTTTCGAGTATGGCTTGTGCTGTGGCGTTCTAACGAACCCAACACTTTGGGGGTGTCTGAACAACACATTTACTGGCTCAGCGGCTGGTGAACCGGAAATACGTTCCAAGACGGAGTAAATCACAGCTAGCAAAGTGCTTGCATTCTTTGTCATTCACGGTTTCATGCAAGACAGTTGTGAGGCTACAATATCTTGGGACATGCATCTATGTTGAGATTTGTTCCCACCAGAGGCGGGGGAATGGGGCGATACTACGTGGCAAATACGAGTCTACAACAGCAGAGTCCCGCTTAACATCAAATGGACCAAAGGCCTTCGTGATTCCGTATAAAAAAAACAAAAACGCTGCTATTCTTCGACTAGGGGCGGGGGGGGGGGGGGGGGGG